GGAAAGAATGTAAATTAAGTTACAAAAAAAAGTTTCAGGAAAAAAAATATATCTATTCAAGGACTGCAGTAAGATATATAACCCCAGCTAGGTAATACTTTATAGATGTGTAAAGTTAGACTTGAGTTCATGGAAATGTATATATCACCTGTGTTTGCTATGAAAATATTTAGATTAATTAAGGTCTTTAGTAACTCAATAAAACTTGTGTGGGGGGGAAACAGTATAGAAAGCAAACATAGATACCAGAGACAGTGTGGGAGGAGAGTGGGAGATGGCAGAGGGTAAGAGATAGGGAATCAAGGATGGGGGAGGAAGCAAAACATACAGAAAACAAGAAATGGAAGATCATTTGCTGACAATAACATGTTTGTTGATCTGCTTGATTGAGACAATATACAGTGTACTCTGGATGGAAAATCTCATTTTGTATGCTGTAATGATGTACAGTGAATGAATGCAAATAAATAAATTGAAAATAAAATAAAATAATAATAGATAAAATAAAAAAAAATACACATGGCCAAAAGCCCACAAAGAGGTGCTCCATGCCAGCCATCACAGAAAAGCGCATCGAGACCATAGGATAGCCCCCAGAACGGCTCAACTCCGACGGAACACACGCAAAGACACGGGGAGCGAGGACCTGCCACCTGCTGGCGGCAATGCTCACGATGGCAGAGCGGCAGCAGCTACAGGGTGGGACCGACCACGCGCTCCGCCAGCAGTGAGTGGCCAAACGGATGTGGCCGTCCACACAGTGGGATATTACTCAGCCACCGGAAGAACGAAGAAGTCTCAATAGGTGACCGGACGTGGATGCTAAGTCAAGGAAGCCAGGCCCCAGGACCACACACCGCAGGGTGCCACTGCCGGGCAAAGTCCAGGTGTACAGCCCCACAGACAGACAGACTTGGGGCTGCCGGCAGGCAGGGAGGGGAGCTAGCGGGCACGTGGTTTCCTTTAGGAGTGGCAGGGAAGTTCTGTCAGAGTGGTGACGACTGCCCAACTCTGTGAGTAATGACACTAAACCACTCACGTGCAGTTTTCTTCTCTTTTTTCCGGAAAGATTTTCGCTATAGGGCGCATGCGCTCACCAGAAAGAGAGAGACAGAGACAGAAAGCGAGAAATCACCCTCCCCAGGGGGGATGGCCAAGCCGTAATCCCTTCTCCTCCATTCTCCTCTCGGGATCTTGGGCACGTGCGTGCCCACACACGCACCCAGCATGAGTTTAAGCCACCGGGTCCAGGACTCAAACCGTGGTCAACTACATGGATGTCCAACAATGTAACCATTACACCATCTGCTGATCCCTCATGTGTAGTTTTCAATGGGTGGACTTGGGCCAGCCAGCGGTATGGTGGTTAAGGTTTCTGGATCCCACATGGCCACCACATGGGTTCGAGCCCCAGACCTGGCAGCTTGAAAGACACACTAGGTGTGCCCCAAATTCCGAAACGAGGAGGAGAAGGAGGAGAAGGGCCTGTGATGTGGCCATGCCCCGTGAGGCTGTTTTCTCACGTCCCCCACCCCACTGCTCTCTGGCAAGTGTGGCGTCCTCTAGTAAATTATTAGAAAATCAAATGAAATGAACAGGTAGATTGCACGGTGGACGAGCTGCCATAGGGCCGTTCTTGGGTGGCATGTCTTCTGTGGCTGCTGGTGGCTTCCTCAACCGTGAGCAAAGCTCGCCGAGCGAGGGCTCCCGTTCACTGCCACTCACTTCCCTGGGACAAAAGAGAACAGCCCCCTCCTTTTCCCTAACCACCCTTTCTAAATGAGGTGTCCCCTTACGCCTCTTTTCCCCAGCCCTCACGCCCCGACCGTCAGCTCCCGCGGACCACAGGCTGCCGGAGGGCAGGAGCCAGGGTCGGCTCACTGAGTCGCTGGGCC